TTTTTTTTTTTTTTGGGGGGGGGGGGGGGGATTCTTAAGTTTAGAGAGGAAAATCCCAGGAGCTAGAAAATTCAAAGTGTAAACTTAATGCTTGTCAATCTGATAACAGAGCTAAATTAATATGTATAACATTGACTGCACTAAATGAATGTGAAGTGAAGCAGCCTTACAATGTACATGTCTATGATAAACATTTCTCATATTTTTGAAATGTGAAATGAATAATAATGAAAAACAATGCATTCCATCCTTGTATTTCAAATGTGTCCTGCATGTAGAAGAAATTGTATCATTTTTGTCAACAAGTTTGAAAGAATTACATACTCTGGGCTTGGTGACCAATACAGAAATGTAGGCACTTAGTGGCAAAAAACCTGCCCAGACAGCATGCTCTGAGAGGTCAGAGAAAGTATCTGGTGGTATGTAGGAGACAGTCCCACATTGGAAGAATGAAGAAAAGAAGCAAAAGTATTCTAAGAGGGAGTGTGATTGTTGGGGCAAACTGGGTATTGTGGCATCTAGTGGATTAATGGATGAGGAGAGGTGATTAGGGCTGTGATAAACACCATTGTTTTGTCGTGTGGCAGTCGTACTCAAAGTTAACTTTCAATGGGATCTGGCACAGATGTTTGATAAAGCTCCTTAACAGAAAGCACTTTAGTCTAGTACCTCATCCATCGAGTTTTAACTTAAAGCGCGATGCACCATTTTTAAAGCACTCTAAGGGCCATGAATGTCTGTTCAGTTATGGATTTAGAGCACTTTCTGGGCAATTAATGCACAATAGATGTAATATCTATTCCTAGCCTAAGATGCCAGTTTGCCCTGCCTCATCCCCGGTTTAAACCAGAAATTCTCACTGGAGCTCAAAGAACCTTTCCTGATGGAATCATAAAAAAATGAGGCTGGAGGGGACCTCAAGAGGTCATCTGGTCCAACTCCCTGTTAAAAACAGGGTCATCCCATCTGAATCATTCCAGGCAAGCGTTTGTCTAACCTGCTCTTGAACATTTCCAAGGATAGAATAAAGGTTCTGTGTTCCAAAAAAAGGAGGCTAATATCCATAGATTCGAATTTACCGGTTTAAAAAAAATTGAAAAAATCCCAACCAGTTTAAATTAATGTACCTAAATAACTAGGCTTGAAGGCTAGGATTAGGATGGAAGAGATGCCTGGAAAGCTTTCAGTGCTTCAGTACATCGTTGTGTGCACCAAGTTCGGTTGTCATTCAGTAGCTAAGTTACTGGTGATGTGACTGTTGCAACAGGTAAATAAATTACTGTATTCATTTACATCTGTCTCATTCTTCCATTTGGGAGGCATATGCACTGATTGGAGTATTCTTTTTTACTTACTGTGTTTTGTACACTCAAAAAGCCTGGAAAGTGAAAGAAAACTGTTGTGTTGCAGCTAAGGTTCTCTGTCATTCTGAGGGTACCATTCCTTCTCGAACTATCAAGCCAGAGACAAAGGTGTGTCTGTGTGTGTGTAAGATGGAGGGGTCTTATTTTTTTGGTGGCAGCCTGGAAAACTGTAACAGACTCAATATAGGCATATCCCAAGAATATTAGCAATGTGAGGGACATTCTTCAAACCCTGGCAGCCTAATAGCCAATATGCCAATATACGTATCTGCCACGCAAGCATTCAGCAAGTCTTGGGTACTAATATAAGCAATGGTTGATGGTAAATGTTTAACTGTTTGTTTAAAATCTTTAAGTGCATTGTAAAATTATTATGGATTTATATGAATTTCTTCACTGAAATCTTAATTTCTTAGTTTCTTAAGTGCTATACACCTAAGCTCTACAGTTTCGAAAATTAACAAAATGTATTTTCCGTGTTTGATTTCTAGTGCAAAACGTATTGTCTTTGAAACGCAGGAAAAAGTTAAAAGAATTGGACCACACCTAGATATCTTTGAGGCTTTTCATGGAGCCAGAAGGAAGACTAGCTTTAGAAAATTAGTAAATGCAATTGTCTGCATTCAGAGATTTGTCAGAGGATGGCTTGAACGTATCAGATATAGGAGAATAAAGATCAAGGTAAAGTGTCATATGTTAAATTAATATACTGCAATTCACTTTACATATTAATGTTGAAATTCTAATGTAGTTGCCTAAGAATTCCTGCTTTTTATTACTCTGATATGAAATAGTGTTTTAGATCCCTGTGCACTGAGCCCTTCACTGTCACCTCTGTACTGCATACCTTGGGTTATTTGAAGATTTAATAAAAGCGGGGATAGTATTTGAACCTTCACTAAATGTATCATCATTTGATCTGAAGTAGAGCATCTGAGAAATTTTAGGAGTAAAGAGCCTGTGAATCATATTTTATCTCTTGCTATGAAGAGAATTATGGTACATATATTCATTGACCAGTTAATTCCAAGGATTTTTCCTCAAATATAAAAAATATATAATTAACAGGCTGCTCATTAGAAGTATTTTTCCCCTCTGCTATTAAATATTAATCACTAAGCCAAGCATTCATAGATTATGTCATAAAATTGTTCCTTTTGAAGTTTGCATCTTGTTCAGATAGTCACCTGAGAACTGTGCAGGGTGTGTCCAGACGAGCATGCACACGTGCATTGCAGCATCTCAAAGGTTTTCAAGGTGCCGCAAAATGCACGCAGCACATGTCAAAAGGTTCTCCATGGAGCCAAAATTAGATGCCAGGAAATCCCAGTATCTGAAAAAGGAGTTTAAAAAATAGTGGGGTGGAACACGTGGCTGCAACATTCACTGCCCAAAACCGGAGCCTGACTGGCCAGAGCCACACTCTGGTTGCCAGCCAGGATCCATCCACCCAGATCACCACTGCTGTAGCCCCGGAAGGCCCCCAGGACCCCAGGTAAAGCTGCTGGGGCCAGCTCAGGTGCTGGCCCCAGCCTCCCCTACCTCACCTGGGGCAATTTGCCTCATGCCAGAGTGCACATGCAGGGGCATTCCCCAGGGACAAGTAGCAGCCACACAACTATTTGATGCTGCTGTCTGTCCCTGGGTAAATGCACATGCACGCTTCTCTGGATGTGCCCATACTGTTCGCTTTTGATTTCCATTTCAGTATTTATAGAACATTGAAAGAACTTATGCTTATTATTTGCCTGCCTATAGAGCCTACAGTTTCACTTCAGCAGGCTGTCACTCTCTAGGCAATATGCAGACTTCTAATCAAATAAATATTCTGAAACCTAACTTACACTTGATTTGAACACGTGGCCTTTTAAGCAGACAAAACTCTTGGGCAGAGATGATAACTTTTATTAGACCAACTAAATAGTTGCAATTGTTTTTCTTTGCAAACTTTTGGGCACACTTGCCATTCAGTAGGAAAGGAGAAATAAGAGAACACTTAACATCTCTGATTTCTCCTTTGCTTATTAGTAGAGAGAGGTAATTAACTGTCAGGCTCAAGTCTGAAATCAGGCAGAAGCAGGACACCTTAGAGCAGTGGTGTCCTTCACTCTAGATGCCTTCAACCTTTCTAGATTGAAGGCATCTATTCTGAACTTTTCTGAATTTAGTGGCACCCTTGTTGCAAATCACTGGTCTAGGATCTCATAAGTGAGCACCCTGTTCTTTATCTGTTTTGAAGGTATCCATGTAGTTATTTACATTTATATAACCCAGACAAAAACAGATGGAGGAGGACTAAAGCAAGTAAAATATCAGATTGGGAAAAGACACACAGTATAGAATATGTCCAAAATAAAATTTTGAAGTTACATGCCATTTTTGTTAGCAGGCAGCTTACAATCAGCTTCAGACAACAATATTTTAACTGTTTTTCACTGGGAGTTTTTTCCTTTTACATTCTTTGTTGTCTTTATCTTTGTCATTTCAGAGAATGACATTTTTTTCCTGACCTCCTGCATTATTATACTTCTATCCTGACTTTCTTAAAAAGTACTTCTTCTTTGAAGCAAAAAGCTTGCTCATTCAGATCTTGTGAAACCCTTAGTTTTTCTTTTGACTTTAGTAGAGCCATGATTTCACCTCCATTTTCTGAATGTAGTTTTTTAGTGTCAACTTGTGCCTAATTCTGTACTTCTTGAAAAATCTTTGCAAATTTTGAGTGTGCAGCAAATCCAAAACTATCCCCCTTAGAATTCAAAGCCCTAAATAGCAGGGTGTTGCTGTTTCTGTTTTGTGTAGCACCTCGCCCATATTAAGTGCTATGCAAATGATGAAGTGTGGTTGCCCGCCTCAGGATCCATGAAACTGCAAGGCATTTATTTCTTACATAGCTCTGCTATAAGCCATGTGGGAGAACGTGATAATATTTCATCCAAGCACTTAGTATTATAATTTTTTTTCAAAGCATTTAACTGCTTATTTCCCAGTTGACTGAGTAAAAATATTCCTAAATGGTGATCATCTGTCCTTACAGCCCCTCCCAGTTCCCATGAGAGCTGGGCAGGAGGTTGGGGAGGAGGCAGGGAGGATAATATGGGCTGTGAAAAGCAGTTCTGCGGCCCCATATTTGCCTACCCACCCACCCACCTGCGGCAGAGTGTACTGCTTAGCACACTGGGGCAGCCAGTGTCGGGGATACTGGAGGGAGCCAGCAGTGAGGAGTAACTACAGGTATCATAGGACACTGGGACTGGTACTGTGACACTATTAAAAAGATCTCATATTACCCAAATTGAAAAGCACTGCCTTAGAGATTAATTTATTCAGAATTACCTTTCTAAATGAGTTAGTCTCAAAGGTGCCACTGTGTCCTGCCTTGCCTGGTTATTAAGGCTGAGTGGTTTCATGGACAAATTAACCATTATTACACTGCTCATTCAAGACCTTGACATACAGGCAGTCCTCGACTTACAACGTTTTGAGTTACAACGTTTTGCACTTACAACATTTGTAAATTGACACCCTGTTTCAACTTTGACATCAGTTTCGATTTTGCAATGCTTGATCCAATGCAACACCATGCCAGTGAACAAGTTTGCTGCATTGCTCATCTCCCTGGAGAATATCTGTCCAAACTTTCTTGGACACTTTCTATAAGAAAGCAGACAAGACTCCAGAAAAACCTGCAGCCAGGACTCCTGAGAAGACTCCAGCCAAGAACCCTTCAAAAAGTCCAACCAAGAGCCCTTCAAAAAGTCTAGCAAAGTCACCTCAAATAAGTCCTTCCAAATCAATATGATTGCTATTTACAATATAAATACATTAATGTAGCTATATTACTCATCTATAATTGATCAAGTACAAAATTCTGGGGAATTTCTGGTGAAAATAGGGTATTGGGCCTTGGTTCAGGAACCAATCCCCCATTTATAATATTGTTTCTTATGAGAAAATTGGTTCTGAGTTACAAAGTTTCAAGTTAAGACTCAGTTTTCAGGAGCCAATTGTGTCATAAATCCGAGGGCTGCCTGTACTAGTGATGCTTCCGGTAAATTTCCCATTTTTTGGTAGTTACTTTCTCTTTCCCCATGGCTATGTAATTCTATTGAATTTGGATATAGAATCCTGTCTTTCTAGCCATGACTCGTGCTCTCAGAGAATAACATCTGTTGCTCCATTATTCCTGGTCTTGGAGTCTTCAGGTGTCAAGTACTAAAATATGTCTACTGAGCATCTTTTGAAAGATCTTCAGTATCAGCTTTACAAGTCTTGTATACTAATTTTTTATACATCATATGGTGCATAATATTTTCTCTTATAAACTAATACATATTTGCTATAATGGAATTACCTCTCCTTGTCTCCTATTAACATTTCTTTCGTTTTGTATCAGTATCAGTTCCACCTCCTTATCTGCTTTCTTTAGTCAACCCGTCCTTATTTCTAAAAGTAATGAAAATGCAATACATATGTAATTACAGTCTGAAAGTCATGGGCCATCCCTTTCAGCAGTTGTGAAGAAATACCGTAAAATGTTGAGTCGTATTAAGCGCAGATCTGGTCTTTTGAATCTATCTACATCGCTCAGCTTTTCAGAACTAGAGGAGTGGATGGACAAGAAAACATGTAAGTGCTCTTAATATTTATGTAGACAATAATCTTTCATTTCCAATTTAAATATATGTACTCATCTCTAAGTACCACGCTGCGGCCATGGACAGATTTTACATCTGTAGCACTAAAAATGCCTTTTTAATATTGCAAAAAGCAAGCATACAACCATTCAGGCCGTTTAGAGTTGGAAGAAAACATGGTGAAACCACCATGAATGTTACCTCTTTCTAGTAGTGCCACATGTAATGTCTGCACACTTACATTTAGCACTACAAAGTATAGCTCAATCTTCCAGCATCCCAGAAGGCCTTAAGCTTTGTCCCCATCCCTGGCTCCAAGGATTGATTCTGTGATTGATGCTGAACACTACTGCCCTAGAAAGGTGGAACTGAGCACACATGTTGCCATGCTGACTTGCCATTCAGTGCCGTCGTTTTCATCAGCAAGATAAAATCCATCCCAATGTTCACGGAGGTATATTTCAAATGGTTTCCAGAGTACTGCATAATTAGAGTTGATTCTGGTGCTTGTTTTGTTGAGTCTCCTAACCAGATTGCACTGGTAGCCACACTTGAGAACAGCTAGGAGTGTAACTCCTGACAAGAATTTGGGATAGGAATTGACCAGGAAAGCTATGCCTCTACACTCTCAATTTTAATGGGGAGAGGGGGTTATGTCCTTGAGTGTATGGTCCCATAGCAACCAGCCAATAAATGCATTCCTCTGTGCTCGGCCATCTTTGGAAACCTCTTGATCCAGGGGGCCCCCTTAAAAACACGCTGGGATCTCAGCACTCAGACCTCCTTCCCTTCCCCCGCCCCCCCTTGACCATGGAGTGCTAGCAGCATATTCTCTTGTAAGGTTTTTGGAACTCTGGACAACCAGGGATTTGAATGCCTGTACACACAAGTCATGCCACATTTTTGTGGAGTTACAAATTTCTGTCAAATGAGCATCTGTCTTCTCCTATAACCTTAATGTTAGAAATTGTTCCTTAGTGCAAACCTCACTCCATGTTACCAGTTGCATCTCAAAGATGTCAATCCAGCTATCCATTGTTAGAACTACAGGATCTATCTCAGTTGGTAGATTCTACTGGTCAAGACACTGACTGTTGCAAAACGCATTGCCATAGATGCTACATTTTTGTGCAGTTGGTACTTATTGCACCTATGATATTTGATTTTTGCTTTCTATACCTACTGATGCTAGTGTTATGCACTGTCAGAGAAACAGTGGGTGAAAAAAGGTGATTTTGCAAGCCATCTTAATACCATACTGACATACAACAAGCAACCTCCCAACCCTCCAGAATTGGGGTGCTTGTCTTAAGTGGGGAAGCTGATTTTTCTTCGCAGGACTAGATACCTGGAGGAGTAGAAATGCAGAGGCTGTGCCCCTTCTTTCTCTGGCAGCAAGCAAGTTGTGGTGGTGTTCAGTGTTAACCCTTTCATAATTGCTAATGAATTGACAGTAGCTTTTGGCTTAGAACCCAAAAAACAGATGCACATTCTATAGTGGCTGTGAAAGGATTAAAACTAGACTCCAGCCCTGCTTGCTAGCTTCCTCAGAGAGAAGGGGTAGTGATTTTAATGCATAGCATCACCATGAAAGAGTTCTAGGCCATAACTCTGGAAATATCTTTTTTTTTCTACTTTCCACCTTCCAAAAACAAGGTGTGTGCCTCTTTTGGGGGATGTGGCATGCAGGAAAACATGGTAATTGCTTCCTTTTTTTACTTACAGTGGTTTCGCTTATAAATTGATTTAAGAATTATTGCCAGTTCTACCAATAGTTTCCATTTTTAGGATAGTGAATCTTGCATTTATAGAATATTCTAAAATGGAAGAAACAATATGTGTATAGAGAGTCTATCTCTATTTCTTCTCTTGCTATGAAAATATATATATGCCTTTTTAATGTTTTATTTTAAGGATCTTTTTTCAAAGCTCTATTTTCACACTTCAAATTACTTTCTCCATTGCCTCATTTCTGCCTAAGTGCTGACTGAATAGTGGAACATATGTTGTAAGGTGATATTTAGCACAGTCAGCTGCACTCCTTTGTAACAGGGCCATTATAGAACCTACACATGTGACTGGGGATGTAGCAAAGTGCAAGAGAGAAATGGGGCGTGGATGATAATAGGCTGAGGCTGCAGCCAAGAAGGTGCTCTTTACTGGTGGGAATTTACTTCTTATGGTCTACCTCAGAGTAGATCCTGAGTCCAAGTGCTGAAAAACATTAAAGAGGTAGGAAATGTTTGTTGCTACTAGCAGTATCCTCCTCAGCATCATCTGCAGCTTGTTCGTGCTCTCTATATTGTTTTGTATATGACTAGATGGAATTGTCTTTGGACAAAAATGAGGAGTGGCAAGATGAGATTAAGAAAAACTGGAAAAATAATATAGATTTCCTAACACATCAATTCTACTGCAGAATACTCTCCCAGGTAGTGACAGCAACATCTTCACATAGGGTATTTATAAACAGATGAGCAAAATCACTGAAGAAAAGTAATACTGCTGGTGTGGTTGGTCAGTTTTTCTATGTCCTGGGACAGCAAGCCACTCTAAGGACACATTAACTGGAAAATCCATAAAAAAACTTGGTTGTGCTGGAGTGGTTTTGTAGCAATGCTGATCCCAGAGTTATGAAAGTGGCAAGGATTTTTTTTTTTGGGATGATATCATTTTTGGACCAACTGCATGGTTTGGATAAAACTAGATAAGCTTTTGAATGCAAGGCATTTTTCATCAGGTCTAAGGGGGGAAGCATGATCAGTGATGATTAAGAACAGGTACTAGGGCAGTGAACTTGGAGAGGGAAGAAATACTCAGCGGTAGAAGACGAACAACTAGCAGAAAAGAAAAGGCTTGATTACTAGGAGACCAAGACCTGTTAAAAGGAAGGAGGGTATCACCTGTAGTGTGCAGAAAGAATTTCAGGAATCAGGTAGATTATAGTGTGCCATAAAGTCAATATCAGTGTTTAGTCCTTGGTTTTTAGCATCCAGTCAGCTTATGAATATTTGTTTCCAAACTTCCTTTTTATAGGTGTTTGGCAGATTTCTCTTGGGCCTGAGAATAGTGAGGTAAGAAAGGGAGTGGTTGTTCTGTGAAAAATGTGCTCCTACTGACATATCTGTGTCTCTATCCTTTATATTTGTTTTCATGAGAGTTCATTCTCCTCTGTCATTTTGACTTAGTTTTACCCATGTAATCACCATGGGATCATTTGGTGTACTGGATTAGATCGATCATATTTTGGGAAAGACATGTGTACGGTCCATAGATTCTGGTGGGCTCATTGTTGCAGGTGTTGATTGTTGTAGCAGTGGAGATGTGTTGACAGATTAAGCATCTATTGTTAAGGTAAGGCTGCATCCTTTCTAATGCCTGTTGAGCATTGGGGAGTTTGTTTCTGATGATGAATTGGGGGGTTGCTTGAAAGACGGGAGCGGAGGGGCTGGGAATATTTCTCTCAAAGTCTAATCTGTGTATAGGCTGTAGTTGTATGCTGATTCTTTTAATCAGTTCTGGCTTGGGGTGGAAGGTGACCACCAGAGGTGTGGTCACAGGAAGATGTCTTTTCATGCTGAAGTAGGTTACTGCAGGGTACTTGGGTGGCTCTTTCAAAGACAGAGTCTATTTCTCTACTGGACTTACAATATTACAAATATTCTCCTCACAGCAGATGCAGTGGTATTTGAGAGCCTGACTGTACATTACAGATTTTTGCTATAGTTGAGATGATTGCTCATTTCAGAGAAATAAGCATGGTGGTCCACGGGGTTTTTTTGTATGTGATGGTTTGGAGGGAACCATTCTGGATGTGGATCATGGCATCCAAAAAGTTGATGCTAGTTTAGGAGTATTCCAGAGAAAATTTGATTATGGGGTGGTATATGTTAAACATGTGGTGAAAGTCAATAAGTAAGTCCAGGTGTTCAGCCCAGATGATGAAAATATTTTCTATGTAGCACAGGTATGCTGCAGGTTTGATGGTACAGTTTTCTAAGAATTCTTTATCTAGGTGACTCATAAAGAGGTTGATTGGCCATTTTTATGCCCATAGCTGTACCCATAGTTTGGAGGAAAAAACAACTGTTGAAAGTAACCTTGTGGGTGAGGATGAAGCAGATCATATGTGCAACAATGTATTTGTTAGAAATCAGAGTGTAGTCCATGTTTTAGTAGGTATTTCCAACAGGCAGATGTGCCTACATGATGTGGGATGTTAGTGTGCAGGCTAGAGATGTCCATAGTTGCAAGTATGGCTTTCAATGGTAAAGTCTCAGATGTGACTTCAGTAATCTCCATGTTAGTAAATATAATCATCGTATAGGAAACAGGCAAATCAATCTCCTGTTTTTGTAGGTCTGTATTAAAAATAGGAGAAATAATGCATTCCTGGACCAATAATGTACATTTCCATGGAATACTACATTTTTTCCTTTAGCCAGTAGTTCATATGGAGTATCATAAGAATCTTTCTGTGTAACATGCTGTATAGTACTGCATGATTAAAAATTATGCATTATCCATGACATTGTGGTGTTAAGGTGTAGGTGGTTGAATCACTGAAGCATTCCTATTAAGTTGTACCCCTTCAAAGGTCCTTTGTTTGTAGGTAGGAGAGCATGTTACAACCAGATGCATTGGTTCTTGTTTTATCTTTGTAGTCTTTAAAAAAAATAGAGCAGAAAGTCTAGCTTAAAAGGAAGATATTGTTTTTCCTAAACATTGATGTGACATACATTTGTTGTATTTGAAGGAGGGAGAGAAACAGACCTTCTATATACATAATCCCATCTATTCTATTATCCTTAAGATGAATTCCAAACTTAGACTAGTTGTATTAATAATAGTAAACCATTTATGCTGCTAGCTAGAATGAAATTCTTTACTTACTGAGAAGGAAAATTATCTGGCATAGACTCTGCAAAAAATGCCTGACCTATGGTAGATCACCTAAAATGATTTAAGGATTTCAGAATGTAGGTTCTTGTGCATACTTAAAAAATATATATATATTCCTTGTCTCCCATAAAAGGTGCAAAATAAATCAAACAGCTCTTATTCTGAGCTCCTCTCTGGCTGAAACTTTATTAATACACTCATCCATGAAGGAAATGGTTGATGGTTAATTCTTTTCTTGTTTAGCTTAGGCTTAGTACAGCTAGGAGAACCTCCGTTATAATAATATGGAGATACAATACCCTACAATCCAAGTCCTCCTGATGCCTTTTTCCCCTTGCTAAGAATTGTTAAGCCTTCTGGTAGAGATGCCTCCAACCCATGCCATGTAATAAGGCCATCTCTCCTTATGTGGATCTTGAAACAATATTTTTCCATTTCTACCGATCTGGCTGGAGTTTGTAATTTTTAAAAAATCCTGGCTGGTATAGCAAAAGGTAACTGGAAATGTCATAGTACCTCAGGCATAAATCAAAAATGAATCTAATCTATTATCTGACAGAAGAATACAGTGTCTTCCCTTTATATAGTTTTTATACTACATATAAACCTGATTCTAAATAAGGTATTTCCTAGAAGACACAGAATGTAAGGGACCAAGGCATGGGTGAAGATACATTATTAGCAGAGCATAACTTTGCTAAATTGCCTGGCAGATGCATTGCGAGTGACGGACTCTTTTGTATTGCTGAGTAACAATTTGATCTAGACTCTTCTGTGTCAGTGGAAAGATTCCTCTCCTACATGACTGCATGTTTAGCAGTGTAGCAACATATCAGGAGCAGGGTCTGGTCTTGTATCATGGCTTAATGATTAGAGCTCTGAGGGGAAGCAAGAGCCTGGGGCTGGGTCAGGGAGCCAGAGCCATATACCAAAATCAGAGGAAATTCCAGAAGCAGAATCCACAACACAACCCAGGGTCAGGATCTGGGGATCAGATACCAAGTACCAACCCAAGGGGCAATCCACAGGACAAAGTCCAAAAACAGAGCTAAACCAGGATCAGGAAACAGATCTGAATGGAAATCCAAAACTGAAGTCCAGGAATAAGTCCAAAACCAGTCAAGAAGCAGGAGGCTTGCCACAGCAGAATTATTGATTGGCCTGTAGACCCAGGGCCCCAGCTACTGTTAAACAGATTGGCAGGGCAGTACTCCCATCAGCCAGTCAGGATGCTCACTGCCCCTAAGCTCGGGCAGCGTTCATTAGCTGAAGCTCACTGCTGTGGTGCCTGGCTCAGGCTGGCCTGCCTAATCAACGTCCCTGACGCAGAGCATTCCTGCACGTCTAAGACATGTTATAATAGTTTGTAAGTTTGATTGAATAATGAAAAAGTGTATGATTTCTTTTAAGTTTATGAAACAATGTTTGCCAAGAGAGAGTTCTGGAAAGAGATGGACAGAAGCGATCTGCCTGGATTTTTAAGAGACTGTGGACATTTTCTATCCCCGCATCAAATAGATGAGGCTTTGCGTTTGGTCTGTCCAGGTAAGTTCATTTCTTAAAATGTATTCATAATGGTGTGCTTCCTTTGCAATCTTGCAAAGTTCTTGTTTAGAGGGGGTAGAGGAGTTGTTGCTGCCATTAAGAAAATGGATGAGGCAAAACTCATTCACATTTTTATACTGCTTATTATCTGTTTTACATGAAAATAAAATGCGCTTTTAAACGCCTGTCTCCTTTTTTAATGCAAGGCCCTAAATCTACACCAGTGGATGTAGCATGTAAAAAGGTAAAGACAAGCTTTGTTCATTCTCCTTGGCAGCTCTGCCCTTGCAACTGTTTACAGACAAGGCATGTCCCCACATTCAGGGGCATGTGCTTTGCAGCAACATAAATAGTAGTGGCACAAATTTGTGCCACTGCTTTTTACTGCAGTGCATGCCCCTGCACATGCACTTTGGTGTGGGAAAGACTGTTCCACTTTGGGGAAACTGCCCTTTCCCCACTTCTCCCAGCTCCTGCTGTGCCGGAGGAGGTGGGACAGGGCACACACAGCTAAAGGAGTGGAGATGCTTTGACCAGCAGCCACAACATCTCCCAGGAGGACCAAGCCTCCGTGTCTGCTACCACCTGCTCCTCTCATGTGCCTTTTGCTATCCCCAGTTAAGCACCCTTCTGCACTTGGCTTTTTACAACTCAGTGCAAAAGACTACTACAACAAATGTACGCTACTGCTGGGGGAAGAGAAATATAATTTGGTAAAGGTGTGTGTGCAGGAAGGCACAAGCTGTTAAGCTCTTGCAGTTCATAATTGGAGGAGATAGTATATGCTGTTAGGTGGGTTAACTTCTCATTACCTTGTATTTATGGGCTCATGTCAGGTATGTTTTGTGTTTATCTGTCCTAACTCTTTTGCAGTTAAGTTTTTTTGTACATTAATGTTATTTTTAAAAGAACATATAATAGGAATAGCATCTTAGAAGAGATTTGTTATGTTGTGTAACCAAATGGAGACCCTTAAGCTATAAGCAATGGATTAAAACATTCATTTCAATTAAGTCTATACTCCATCATCTTTCATGGGTCTCCTTTTCTGGAGACAGCAAGGGAATCCATAGCAGCTTGACCCCTTTTCTAACAGCTGCTTCTGACCAGCATCTGAAAACTTAGTTAATGGAAATTGAACTTAAACACTGGGAGATGGAAAGGAGGGCCCACTATACAGCAGTACTCTTTTGTTTTAAATTAATAATGTGTGTGCATCTCTCAGGAGGGCTTTGGTCACTTATTTGCCATCATATCCAAAAGTAGGAAAGCAGGTTGCCAGGGTATTCCTGTTGAAACAATTGGCTGTAGAAGAACAGCCAGCTTCTGCAGTCAGGATTGTCAATATGCTACAATATTAAGACCCAGTCAAGACAAATCAGGCATTGCCTACAGCATTAGTGTCAGACCAATATTACAGTGAGTAGCGAGTCCAAAGATGGCTCTTCATTACTTTTGTGACTCCACCAATTCTGCTGGACAACTAAAACAGCCAAATAATTGGGAACATGGTCTTGGTTTGGATAATGACCTATTTCAGGTGTGTTCTAAACAGGTGAAAATGTTTGTTTCTGATTGCTTTGTTGTGGTAAACCTATATTTAATCATGGCTTATTTCATCTGTTTAATGACCTACTGTTTTCAGTTCAATATATTTTTATGAGATTTTTTTAGAGCCAATTCTCTGCTGAATCTGAATTCTAAGGCAGCAGATGACTTTGTTAGTAGCTGACCCTCCATCACGTTTGAATATTAGCATATCTTAGTATTTGCTTCCAGTAAATTTAATTAATTTCTTATGGAAAATCATGCATTATATGTCATTTAGGTCACATTCCTTAGGCAGCCGGAATAAGACCAGGTATTTTTAGTCATTGGCTCAGTCCTCATCACTATGGTAACAGGAGATTTTGTGACTGAGACACATATTTTTTGTCTTATCTCCTAGTTTTGGGAAACCATTCCTGCTTCTTACTATGTTCACAGAAAGACTAGCAAAGGTTAATTTTACCCCACTCATTTAAGTTATTTAGCAGCTCTTTTAGATATATCATATTATCAAGATTGGGCTCAGCAGCTCAAAGCTGGGGAACAGATTTGACAGGGTTATAAGTTTCTTATTTACAAGAAGTTTTAAGCTCTATCAAAGTATAAAAATGTAAATAATTAGAAATTGCCCAAACACAGAGATGTGCCTGTGACTAAGGGACACTTATAAAGTGACTTCTAATGTAAACATTTTAAATAAATGGCACTGATCTGTAAAAGTGCTCTCTGTTTTATAATATGAGCATCATTTATTTCTGAAGATACATTATTAACAGAGTATAACTTTGCTAAATTGCCTGGCAGATGCAGTGTGAGTGATGGACTGTTTTGCATTGCTGAGTAACAATTTGATCTAGTCTCTTCTGTGTCAGTGGAAAGACTCGTCTCCTACGTGACTGTGTGTTCAGCAGTGGAGCAATGTAGCAGGAGCAGGGTCTGGTCTCGTATCATCTTGTGTTGTAAATCTCTGGTATGGACATTGACTGCTGAATATGCTACCAGTACTAGGTGGCAGAAGGCTTGAATAAATATCACACTCTTAGAAAATGCAGAAAAGAAGGACATACTCTGCTTTTTGTGCTGTTGCTGTTGCCCATCTGTACACTTTATTCTGTTTGCTGCTGTTGCAGCATCTGTTGAACTCCAGCTGCCTAGGTGGCTTAGCTCCCCATTTTCACTCCCATTTGCAGAAGTTGCAGGTGGTGACCTCTGGCTGTTTGTCTAGCAGGCAATACATTGCTGCCCAGCTTTTCAGGCAGTGTTGCTTTTTGTTGTTGGAATGCCCACCCATTCCTGCCCATCCATCCCATTAAAGCTCTTGCATGGAATGTATGTTATAATATATATATATATATATATATATA